TTGCTGTTTTGTTTGTTGTGTCTTGGTGCTTTTCTTTTCTCTCTCGAGGCAGAAGGCCGCCCACCAAGAGCCCGGCTCTGTCAAAGGTTTCTTCCATTAAAGGGAGGTTTTCCTCCCCACTGTCACCAAGTGTTTGCTCAAGGGCGGTTTGTTGGGTTCTTCTGTATAATATTATAAGGTCCTGACCTTAAAGTGCCTTGATCGTTGTTATGATTTGGTGCTATACAAATAAAATTCTATTAAATTGAATTGAAAATCTGAATTTTTCCCTTTGTCTCTTGCTGGGTGCTGAAATGATGAATCAATCACATGACTGATATTCAGATTTTGAGTCAATGACAGCCGCAGCATTAATGACTAAACAACAATTTACAGTAATACGTCAACTCAAAACACCACATAGTGACACTGCTACTTATTGTATATGTTGGTTTCCTCCTTTCAAAATACAGTCAACAGCATCTCTGCAGCCCCCCACTGATTAACACATTACATCCTGTATAAATAATAATAATAATAATAATAATAAGTGTATAAATAACAAATTTTGGTTCTATGAGCGTTGCAGTCAGCTGCCAGCCGGCTTCTCCAAAACTGCTTGTCAGCTGGTTAAACAGCTTCAGAAACCCTCTGATGTCGGACTAGGGTGGAGTCTGTCTGACTCTTTTATTCATTTTCTAAAAGTGGCAATTCAACATTCACACCTACTTCACGCCAGAGGTGGGAAAGAAAGCAGGGTTTGAACTTCTCTCTCACGCTCTCAATTCTCATTTGTTGCACATTGCTGTCACTTTTCATGTGAACCACCGAGTAGCACACTGTCTTCCGGGACAAAATGTCTAAGATGTATCATGTCTCCCTCCTCTCTATGATGGCTGCTTTTTCACGCTTCACTTTTGTTGCTTTTTGCCTTTTCACTCTGCTTTTCAGTGTGGCCGTTCAGAACAACAAGAAACACTTTTAATTTCCAAAGTGCGATCGTGGCATGTGTTGCAAACCCATTCTCTTCGTGCACAACCCAGTGTGCTGGAACTATTTCTTGGCTTGGTGCAGTGACTTCCTATCCAGGCTAGCTGTTTCCCCGTTTCCAGTCTTTACGCTAAGCTAAATTTACCATCTCCTGGCTGTAGCCTCATTTTTAACATATAGATACGAGTGTTTTTATCTTCTTCTATAATTATAAAAAAACTAGAAAGTGAATAATTGCTTGTCCCAGAATTGGTCTTCTAAGTACAGTTTTACAGAGCTGCAAACATGGCTTTACACTCATGTTTACAACTTATGGCATTAACTTGTTAACAGATTAATCTCTAATCAGAATATTTGTTAGTTGCAGCCCAGTTACTGTAAATCTCAAATTCTGAATCCTTCTCAGTGTAGTGTGCTGGGAGACCAAATTCTCTGTAGATGTTTTGTCAAGTGAAATGGATCATGTTGAGGAACACAAAAAGTCAACATCTTTCTCTCTTATCCCCCTGCTGCCTCCCACTGTCTCTCTGTTTTCCTTCCTCTCTGTCTCTGTATGTGTCTCTCTCTCTCTGTGAGGGCGTGTGGGGTAGGGAATGTTCTGGAGAGAGAGAGGGGTGGGGGGGTGAGGGGGTTGGAGGAATGCTGGACTTGCTCCACCTGCCGTTTGGAAAGCTTGAGCCAACTCCGTCCAACAGCAGACACCAGGGGGAGAGGAAGGGAGGACAGATGGACTGAACACCAGGACAGGAGGGAAAAACGGAACACCGCAAAGTCATTGTGGGGCAAGAACGGATGGATGGATAGACAGATAGATAGATGTCATTGCTCTCAAAGCCTCATATCTCCATTTGTTGTTTATCATTGATTTATCATTTGACATGGTAAATATGAAGCTGCAGCCTGCAGCTGCTTAGCTTGGCTTAGCATAAAGACTTGAAGCAGGGGGAAACAACAGTTAGCTTGGCTCTGCCTGAGGGTAACCAAATGCGCCCAGAAGCACCTCTGAACCTCACTAAATAACACATGATATCACATTTGTTTAAGTGTACAAAAGCCAAAGGGTGTCTTTGCCAGACTATTTCCTGGAGTCTTCTTGTCACCATGAAGTCGTCAGGCAACCAGCAGAGAATGTGTGTTTTGTACGAATTAAACAACCATGATGTAATGTTTAAAGTAGTGAGCTTTAGAGGTTCTGAGGATTTTATTACCTGTTCCCAGTCTGCTAGGTTAACTTTAATAAGCTGCATGTAGTTCCGAAGACAAAAGTGATTTCCCAAAATGTCAAACTATTTCTTTAAAATATTCCTGTGCCTTAATAAAGAGCCATAAGGACAGTGAGAAGATGTCTGTGAGTGTACTTCTTGGTATTTGTACCTTCTTCTTGTCTCTCATGGAGCCCTTTCCTCGCACCATAATCTTGCAGCCAGTCTCTGCCTCCAGCTGTTTGGCTGTCAGTCCGCGTGGGCCCAGGATCCTCCCGACAAAGTTGAACTACACAAAAGAGCAAAACACACTGATAAAAAACAGAGGCCTAATGGAAGACAGGACACATTTTACATCACAGCTGTCTTTTTACATTGTCTGTTGTTTTTACATGTGCTGTGAGTGAGTGCATCTTTGAGGTTTGTGCATCTGTGATGTGTTTGTGTTACTAAGAGAGACAAAAATAGCTCATTATACGGGTGCTGGCTGGTGCTGGTGGCATGACAGGACAGCGCCGTTCTCCTAACCTTATCTGCCACTAAGACTGAGAGATTAACTAGACAGCTGCCCCTCTGTGTGTGTGTGTATGTGTTTGCCACTATCCCTCTGTCTCTCTGCTTCTCTCATGACATTTGTCCAGCCTCTTTCACCTCTTTTAAAGCTTCTCTGAGTTTCATCAAATGTTCACTTCTGGACAAGCTGCAACACATTTGCTCTGGTCTCTGTTTTGATGACCCTTGACTCGTGCCAATACACAAAATCCAGATAGAGGAACTGCTCTCTAAATTTAACCCTGATCTCAACCGTTTTCAGTGTGTGTGTGTTGGGGAGGTGGGGGTGGCGCCCTGTTAGCCTCCTGTCATGTGAGTGAAGACAGCCTGTCATTGTACTAAGTGATTGGCAAACTAATGCATGGAGAAAATCATGTGAGCCGTTCGGTCTGTATCAACACGACTCATATTGAAGTGCTTAACTGTACTTGAGTGAGCAGGGGCTGGGAAAATCTCTTCACTGCAGTGTCTTTATCTTAAATCCCCCTAAAATAAATATTTATGGTGTAAACCTAGAGCTGAAAATTGTGAGGAATTTACATCAAGATATTACCCTTATAAGTATATATAATATATTTAAATGAAACTTAAATATTACTGTAAAAGAAATCTATTTTTTATTGTAAATTCTGGCCAAGAATCATTTTAAGTCCAGATTACATCACTGGGTGTGACCACAGATGAATCAGCTTTTAGATAAAATGTAAAGCAAAAGGTCCATGTGAATTAAAAGAAGACTGACTTTTCTGGCTGCCTTTCTGTAACTAAGAGGAGATAAAGTGACAACAGCAGAAAATAAACAGAGCCTCTTCCAAAAGGTCAAAGGTTGTGGATGTGTCCACTCACGTCAGGGTACTCTTTGACAGGCACATAGAGCTTCTCCTGCAGCTGAGCCACGGGGCCGATCGCTTCAGGAAGTTCCTCCATGTCCCGCCCGTTGAACATGCCTCCGTTCACTGTGTCGTTGTACATGTCCTTGCGTACCCTGCCAATTTCTTGGGCGACAGAAAGAGGGAGTTAAACTGAGCTGAGCTGAGGACATCTATGAAAATGTCCTTGGAGGAAAAGTTTCACATTTCTTCAGAGCATCCGTTTCTTAGGTCACTCACTGTCACCAGAATTAGAGGAGGCCCAGCAGACAGACAGACAGTCAGACCGACAGACAGGCAGGCAGGGAGACAATCACATGCATTCTGCACCACAACGTAGAATGTGACCACTGAATGCTTTGCAATCACGCCTCCTCCATTACCGGCAATTTCTCTGTTTTTATTTCTTTCTCCAACACGTAAACACCATCCCACAGTTTCCCATTTTACAAAATGATGCAAGGGAAAACATGTTATTGTGTATTCCAGCGAGCTAGTCTGTTATCAATGATTCATTTGCAGACCGTTTTGTCAGATAATAAGTTATCTCATAAACAGAATGTTAAACAATGAAATGAAAATACTAAGAATCTTTTTCAAGACTCTAACTAACAAACATATATAAACCAGAGAAAATGAGCAACTTCTCACACTGGAGACGCTTCCACCAAAAACATTTGAACATGATTTTTAAAATAGTCGATTAACTTTGTATTGACTGATTAATGGATTAACTGGTTTTTTGTTGCAGCGCTAAAAAGCAGAGGCTTCCATAATCGGTATGTATCAGAACGAATGACTGAAATTTGCTTAACATTTTGATACAAAACAAACAATTAACTGATTTTGGCACTGAGATCAGTTTTTTTAAAAGGCCACATTTTTGGCTTAGGTTTGGTGCAGAGGCACCATCATAAACGAGACTATGTTTGTCTGTCTGGCTGTTTGTTTAGGGTTGTGTCGATGACCGATGCTAGCTTCTGATGCCTTTGTAATGACACGCTGGCACAATAATAACTGACTACTGCACCCACACACACACAGACCCCCCAGTCTGGACTCACACTCTCAAACACACACACCGCAGAATATCTGCCTAGAGGCACAAATATCATCTGACCTAAGCAGGCTGACAGGCATGTCTCCCAGCTCTGACAGTGATAAGTCTAACCATAATAACTATAGTAGGACGCTATAATTACAACCGCAGCTACAGTGACAACGATGATCCTCTAATAACCTATTCTGACCTGCTACAGGCCCAAATGTGACTATTAAAAACACACACACACACATACACAAACAAATCTGCACAGACAAGCAGGGCTTTATTTCACAGTCAGGTTCAAACAAAAAAGCAACTTGCTGGAGGAAAATTAGAAATGAAAGAAGAACAAGAGAGTTGATGGAGAGAAAGACATGGGGGGGAAGCTTATCTTAACACTTCAACTTGTCATTGGTTTAAATTTAGACTGGACCACATTAGTGTTTCTAAATGTGTCACAAACATGCACCCTGACAATATGTGTGATTGGTGGGCTTTCTTTTTACCCTCCCCAAACTTTTTTGGTACAGAGTCCTTGTGTCCACATAAGTCAGGCAGATGATAGAGCCAGGCTGAAAATGGGCACGGTACAATGCCTTTCATTCTGACCGTGGGTGTCAAAGTATCATGTGTGAAGGGTGAATATGTTCGGCTGTCAGAACACAACTAGAAATGTTAAGTTGACCTATTTGTCGGGCTGTAGAGGTCGAGAAGAGCCGTGCTGTGTCATGTGATTTGTCACAAACACAGGACCTCAGTTATCATGATACACAACAATAGGCCTTGGTGGCTGTAAGAAAGTATCCCACTTTGCAGTGCTGTATTTCCTTGTTATGTCATTTATTCTTATTTCAAAGCAAAAATGTCTGATCCCAACAAGTTACACAGACAGCTTGTCTTTGGGTCTTATGAGCAGCATCGAATCAAATCTTTTGCAAAGTGGCAAGCTCTCGTTCCTGCTCAGGGATGGGCTGCAGCGTTCACATAAGCCTGCACATTAGGTCATTGGGAAAGACTAACAACTGTCTACTTGTTCCCATCACCAACTGACTGTGTGTGTGAGAGAGAGTGACAGAGTGAGAGCTCTTCTGTTGCTCTCAACAAATAAAAATGGGACTTTGGGCAAAGCACATACTGTTAACAGGTCTAGTCTTATAGCATTTTTTACTCCGGTTTCCTGTGAATTTACTTTGTGAGGCAATTCAGTGAAATGCACCCTAAAATACAGCTTAAGTGTTTCATTTGTCTTCAGTATCTTTCGGTGTTGGATGAGAAAACTTCAGTGTCACGTTTCCCAGGAAACCAGTGAGGAATTCCTGCATTGACTGTTCAGTAAAGTGAGTCAATAGGTGTTAACTTTTATGAGCACCAACACTCAAACTCAGTGTGTCTAGCCAAGCAAATATGGACTGATTTCCTCTGTAGTGTTACAAGTGGTTAAGGGGGCTAAAACCCCAGACTGAAGACTGTTACCTTCATCCAGCAGCCGCTCCAGATGCGTAAAGATGCCACTGAAGTTTGGCAGGGAGCTCATCACCTTCCTGTCGTTCATCAGCTGCATTAGATAGTCCGGGTTGGACTTGGGTCTCTCCTTCACCTCTGTCTCTCCGACCATGGCGTTTGCTTCTACAATAAAGTGACCTAACAAAGTTTGAAGGAAATGCGATGCGAGGACCCCAGGGGATGCCACTGGCCTCGACACGCAGACCGCCTCTCTAGCAAGCGGATCAAACTCAAATCTCAGCCCCGGTTAATTCGCCTGCCTTTCGGTTAACGTTTCGTATGCGAGCTCTCTCCTGCTTTCCAACAGGTGCCCCCTCCGTCCGACTCTCTCCAGAGTTTGAAAAAGTTCCTATAAGGGGGGAGTCTGGCTCTGTTTTCTGACACTTCAGGCAACACTTCAGTCCGCGCACTTCTTCTGCGGCTGCTACAAATCTACCATCAGCTACAGTCTCCTAAGCTCAGATCCTCCGTTGGTGTCCGCCCGGTGTGTCGGTATTTTGCAGATGGGATCGACTCCTATCATATGATCACAGTAAAGCAGCAGCACGAGTGGGCTGTCGGGAGCGCGCCGCGCATAGCCGCTGTCAGGGGGGAGGAGGCTCGTCAGCAGCCCCTCATAGCTCCCACCTAGTGTCTCTCTACACACCCTACACTCACAGTATAACAATACAACAGCTTTGCATAGGTATGCGCACCTGTTCTGCAACAGTTACTGTCCATCACTTCGCCTGCGCGCGTGTGTAGATGTCAACAAGCTGTGCTACTTGTAGCTACCTTCCTTGAGAATTTTCATTTTCAGCTACTTTACACTCCTCTACATGTCAGAAGGAAATATTACACTTATATGATAGAAATTAAGGCTGAATCTGATTATGAGTGGTGAGATCGCCAGGCGCAGACCTAGGAGCCTGAGGTCAGGGGGCCCCTGGGCTGAAAAGAAGCTCTAAGCAGAAAACTAACAGAGGCCACTCTACATACTGAGAACCTTTATTTTGATACTTAAAGCTGCTCTAATTTCATTTCAGCAGCTTGAGGGTGTAGTGAGACTCGATACAAACCGACACTATAAGCCGCTCCTAACCACTCTTTGCCCTTCCTGTCATGTCCCATTTTCTTGCAACAACATGAACTACAGATGCCTGGTTGCGACAAACAAAATGCAGCCTCAGGTACAAAACTAGCATTAGTAAATTTGTCCTGTAGAATGCTCTGGTTATTCCTGATGTAACACAAAGCACAGTACACAAAGCCCAAATTACTCCCATATTAAAATTATATTAATTCACTACAATGGTATAATCATGATCATGCTAGGTCACTAACAAACACATTAGCTTTAGATGCTAACATCCAGAAGGAATAACACCACATCTGAATCAAATCTGTGTCCTTTGGCTGCTTTTCACCCTCTCCGGGTCAAAAAGCCAAACTGATGTTAGCCATGATTTTTGCTCTTTCTTTGTCCCACTCTCTCTGTGCAAAAGATGCCACGTCTTCAGTCTGGCAGCTACTGTTTCAGACCTTTAGCTGCCAAGCGCTTCCCCCATTGCTGGCTGTTTGAAATGACTTGCAGGTCAAAAAACGTTTCTTATAACCTTGGCTAGGTGGCAAGGGGATGCTAATTTATAGTGTACTTTGACAACACAGGGTAAAGAAGCTGGAATAACAACGTAAGGGTTGTAGGCAGCAGAGTGTCATGTAGGGGAGTAGTTTATTTTAGTTAATGCATCTTTAACTACATTTTGTTGTTAATACTTGTGTGGTTTCATTTTGTTTAACTGCAGTTTTTTTTTTAATTGTGACAGAGTAGTTTTTGTATGGTATTGCTACTTTCCCTCTGGTAAGTGGTCTACTTCTTTGCAGCCTTTCACTCTCCTCTCCTGTTCACTCCCTCCACTTTGAGGACTTTTGTTAAGGACCCTGGAATAATAAGACGGTGTGAGGTGTGCATTTGCTCTCTCTGGGTGGTTGCTGCTGGTTGGGGAAGGGAACTGTTAAGTGCTAGGGTCTAAACTTAACTTGCTGTAAATCACAAACTCATGTGTACACACACACAAACACACACACAGAGGTGTGACAATATGTGTGCTCATGCATGCCCTGAGTTAAGCTCTCTGACAGGCGCTGCTGACCTCCCAACTGGTTTCTCTCCTCTGCCCACTCTTACACACTGGAAGGTTTGCCTTGTAAGATTAAACTTGTGATTGCGGCTGGGTAGGATGCAGTGTGTGTGTGTGTGTGTGTGTGTGTGTCAGAGCAGCATGAATTGTAACAGGGTAGCAGTATTGGTAATGGCTGGTCAGCTGGTATGGCAAGTATTCACGGCGGGGGCAGTGCATTGTCCTCTCATAGCTCCAACAATGCCCTTCTGAGAAGGCCACACATCTACCAGTCACGGGCCTCTCTCTCCCTCTCTGCCTCTGTCTCTGCTTTTCTTTCCGTCTGCCATATTTATTCAGCCCACAGTGAAGTGTAAAGTGAGATTTGATATGTAGTAGTGTCCATGACCTTTGACTGAAACCTCAAAGTCAGCATCATACATTCACTATAAATCACACCTTGCATATTCACTATCACTATAAAGAATGAATAAATGCTTTGAATGCTGATTATGTTTATTAATACAGTTCCTTTATGTACAGTTATTAGTCTGCATCAAGTTATTAGTTATATTCTAGATGCAGAATCAGTCTCTTTTATGATCTGATGTATGTCATTTATGTGTCTGCTTATTAAAACATATCCCAAAATTGATTCCAGTACTGGGAGAAAAATTAGATTTATTACTCAACCGATGATTAATCACTGGCAATTATGACAACTGATTAATTATTTGGGAAACCTAGCAAGCAAAAATGACAAATGTTCTCTGTTTTTTGCTCCTTCAGTGTGAGAATTTGCTGCTTTATACATGTCAAGTAATTAATTTTAGGTTTTGACTGTTGGTTGGGCAAAACAAATAATATGAAGATGGACTCTAGAATATGAAGATGACTATTTTTAGAGCTGCAACAAATAGCCAATGAATTAATTGATTGTTAAGAATTCAAGCAAAAAAAGTCTTTTTTTTTAGATCCAGCTTCTTAAATATGAGGAACTGTGGCTTTTCTCTGCCTATATATCACTGTAAACCGAGAACCTTTTGGTTTTGGACTGTTGGCCGGACAAAAGAAAACAAATTGATCAAAGGGGACATGTAAACATGTCCCCTTTGATCAATTTTTTTTTGTAAAACAAACAACAATAAGGTAATAGTGGACATGATTACCATATGGTTTAATAGGCCTAATAAAAATAATATAATTGCAAGCCTACTTATTTTTCATAAATTTCTGACATCGTGTAGAATAAATTATTATTGTACAGGTCTCTAGTTTTTAAGTACTATGTTTTATCCCTATTTATCTCATTTCAATGTACATTCCTTTGTTGTCTGCATTGTTTACTGTCTGTTTATACTGCTTTTTCTGCATTGTTTGCACTGTTTGTTGATGTTAATACTGCTATTTTGTTATATTACACAGCCTTATGCTGGTTTACTGTTTGCACATTGAGAGCTGATGTACCTGAGTCAAATTCCTCGTGTGTCCGTCACACCTGGCCAATAAAGCTGATTCTGATTCTGATTATGACAAATAATGAAAACAATTGCCAGCTGCACACCTAATGTTTTAGCCATAATAAATTATACTAGTTAAGGTCTAGTCATTCAACTGGAGTCAAATAAAGAAATAAGGTTTGCACAGTTTTCTGACTTGAACAATTAATAGATCATTTTTTTCATTAGTATCAAACCAAAGTAATATATTTTATTCACAATGCAGGTTTCCATTTGTGAGGCCACCCCTGTGACACTATCACTGATGGAAAGATACCCTCTACTGGACTTGTATTGCAACTGAAGCTGTACAAAGTGAGAGACTGTCAGTGTTGAAGCAGCCACCAACTTTGTCAGAGACACAAAGGATGTCTGGGAGACATTTGGAGCCAAAATAAATCACATCAGAACAGGCAGCGTGTAAATGTTGGCTGTTAGTAATGAATCATAATCACATTTATTTGGCCAAGTATGTTACACACAAGGAATTTGTCTCCGGTACAGAACTGAGGCAGCCATCTGTGGCGCCAACTCAACCGATGGCTCTAAGCATCGGGGGCAACTTCAGGGTTCAGTGTCTTGCCCAAGGACACTTCGACACGTGGACTGCAGGCACCAAAATTCGAACCTCTGACCCTCTGGTTGGGAGACGACTGCTCTACCCACTGAACCACAGTCGCCTCCTGAATAAAACAGTGGGAGCATTGGTGAAACCACAGCTGTCAGGCAAAGCAGTAAGTCAGCTGGGAATCTAACGGCATACAAGATGACTGTTGGAGCACTTTCATGGATGCTATTCACGCAGTTGGTATGATTTGGTGCTTGTGTGTTACCTGCAGTCGCCAACAGAGAGCAGCAAAACACTGAAGACACAGGATGCAGCTTGTTAGTGTTTCTTGAGATGAAACATTGGCAGGATGGGAGCACCTGTGAGTAGGCACTGTTTGTAAAGAACATTCAGGTTTTATTTTGTTAAAATCTGTTAACGAGCACTGTCCCACCCATGGGACACTGCACCCTCACCAACCTAATTTTCTTCTGTACTGGACTTCATCTAAACACAACTTTCACATGTTATATATGTTGGAAGTCTCTTGCTCTGATCTTTACTTTCTCCTGTTTGCCTGTGTATCTGTCTGTGTGACGCGAGTCCTGCAGCAGGACATCACCTGCTCACCTGGGCTCATGCTAATTTAAAGCTGATTAGGCCTCTTACCTACTCAGTGCTGGTTATGTGCTTTGGT